TGTGTGTGTGTGTGTGTGTGTGTGTGTGATAAGGTTGGAGGGCGCCTCTCACTTCAGTCTTGGAGTGAGGTCAGAGTTGAAGTCAGTCGTCAGTTGGAGGGGGACCTGTCAATGAATTGTCTCGTTTTCAATTGGCAGTTTGGGCTTGCAGGTATACGGGAAGTTTGCTCTAATTGCATTCATGCGTTACTCGGGTGCATTGTGAAGACAGGAAGAGATCACAATGTCATTACTGCAGATGGCTGGTGGTGATTGGATCTGGTTAGTTGGTATCTCGAATTAGAGGCTTGATTGTTTTGTTGTCTTGGTCACTGCAGCTATGGAGTGGATTGGATGCGCTTCTTCCAACCAAGTGTCTTTCAGTTCTTCCTCCTCCTCACCATGTCGTTGCTGCTTCGCTCGCTCCCGACAGCGGTGATATTAATCAAAGGTCATCGCTATCGACGCCTGCCATCACTGTTTCTGGGGTCGGCCCTGTTTGGCACACTGGTGGGTTGTCTGGTCTGTCTCGGTGGCTACCTGCACACCGCAGACAATCTACATACTTGTCTTGTCATCACCTTGGTCACTGCCTTTTTGCTCGGTGTGTGGTTATGGGTGGCCACAACGCCTGGTGGTGGGGCTGCGGCTGTGTCGCTTGGACAGGGTCGGCTTCGTCTCGTGATTGCTCTGTTGCCATCGCGCGCTGTTTGAATGGATTCGCAATTGTTACTTTTGTACTTTTATTTTTCATCAAAAAATCGTCTCAAATGTGTGTGACTGTTTTGGCGGGTGTGGTGCCCACTTTGCCCTGCATTGGCATTGAGGGTTATGGTGACGCGGAGGAGGTTTTGCAGTTGGTTTTGTTATGACGAAATGTTGGGTTGCTAGAACTGATGGCACCTTTCACCCTGTCTTGAGTATCGTCCCTGCTACCTTCTTATTGGCGAGATCGGTACTCTGAGTGGGTGGTAGCAAGTAGGGTGCTGGAGGGAGGGTTGCACTGATGACTTGGTATGGTGGTTGTAATGGCGTCGATGGGTAAACTTGAGCTGGCAGAATGATTATTGTTGTCATTGAATGGAGTGAATGGAGGGGTGAGGAGGACAAGGACAGGAGGTAGACAGCATCGTGTAGGTGCTGCATTTGAATAGGTAGTCGATTTGACTGCGATCACGAGGCTGCGAGCAAAACATAGAGAGTGGAGTAGCATCATGCAGCGACACTGTAGTCTTGAGTGGTGTGTGATCTGTAGTGTTAGAGAGTTTTGGTTATGGCAATCATGTCAACCAACAGTGGCAGACACCTTTACTTCTTGACGCCTTTCCTGCATGGTATGGGCATGCAAAAGCGGCCGGTTCAGTTTGCGCTGTTAGGTGTGAAATGAGGTATTGCGGAGTTGCTACGTGCGCACGGACTTCGCGGAATGACCAGGAAATAGAGCCGCCCAAGATGAAAACCGGTTTGCCGCCATGCGCACCAGTACGGTCATCCCGCCACCAATCATCGCTTCTACGCGTGCTCCTTCACCACCCAATGAAGCAGGAGGGATGTGGGCCCACAAACAAGCGTCATTCGGGCATACGTGGGTGCGGTGATGCTGCTTACTTTGGCTGTGGGTCTCGTCTGCGTGGCTGGTCTCAACGCCGAAAAACTGAAGGAAGTGGAAGTGGAGATTCTCGGCGTACCTTGCAGGAAGTTTGTGCAGAAGGGTGATTATGTGCACGTCTTCTACGTGGGCAGGCTGTACGAGAGTAAGAAGCAGTTTGATTCGAATGTGGGTGGCGAACCAATTCGGATAACCGTGGGAGGTGGTCAGGTCATTGCCGGATGGGAGGAGGGTCTCGTTGGGTACGTTTGACTGAGTTTCTACTCCTATGATTGAATTGATTACTTTGGATGTTTGACATTGGGCCACTCGATCATGACCCTCATAGTAATCGACAGTGGGTGAGTCATGGTGGACATGCTAAGCCCCCGACCTGTAATGGAGGTGGGAAGTCATTGCATCCGTCACGGATCACTGTCTTTGTCTGTTCGGTCTGCAACGCCAAAATGTGTAGTTGTTTGCGTGGCGAATATCAAGTGTGTCTGTTGGCTATTGCTTGTGGGAGCTGAATGCAGTTGGGTCCTTTTGTTGGCATTATAGTACGTGTGAAGGTGAACGTCGCCGCCTCCGCATTCCCAGTTCAATGGGCTACGGTGCAAGGGGCTACGGTGACCTCATTCCACCCGACTCCGACCTGGAATTCGACATCGAAGTGGTTCGTATCGACAAGAGGAAGGAGGAGTTTTGAGCAACGAGGAGGTTTTAGCGTCCTAGCAAGTGTGTGGTGTTCCCTGTTAAAAGGAGGCTGCATTTGTACCAATTCGCTTTCCTCCATAGTTCAATGCTGTGAGTTGATTGTACGAATAGAGTTGCTTTTGTCAGCATCAGTCGTTGGGGATGGTGTGTGACTTGTCATGTTATCACGCACATGCGTGCTTCGAAGATGCCTTAGGATGTTATCCATTGTGAAGGGCAATCATCTTCAATTTGTCTGTGGTAATGGGAACCACATGGCAGGCAATCGTCTACTTTATGCGCATAAAGTACTTGCATTTTGATTTGCAACCGATGACCTCCTAACAGAACGTTAATTTGAGAGAGGTTTGCTTCATGCGCGCTACATTGGGTGGGCAAACATAGCCAAGACAAATGACACATGCGAATAGTCTGTTCTCTCCAAACTGACAGTTGTTAATACCGCTTGCTTACTGTAGGCCTGACAAGCTGCAAATGCCAAGCGGCACGAAGAGGTGACACTCAGTTAGTCAAATCCAGCAGACTGCATTTTCATTGGCTCACATATGGAAGCGAATAGCCATTCGTCACTGCGTTAGTCAGGAACCAATCAGATTCTGCGTTGACGTGGGTGATTGTGTGCTTGCCCATGTGTACTTGCATGGATTTTCATTCTTCATCCATGGTATGCACGTTTAAGCAAACCACATCGGTGATGCGTCTGAGTTGAGAAGTGAAGTT